TCTCAGATAAATGCTGCTAAGTTGCTGTAAAACACAGTGGGGTTGTCTGCCACTTTAGAATAACATTAAATAGGTAATGAGAATGGTGCCTGATCATGCTCCTAACTAATACCATATTTATCATGTATTCTTACCATCATTAATCCATATGTTAGCAATAAAACTATAGCTCTATATGGAAATATATACCTTTGAAGAAATGTTATTGCAGAATTTGAGTAATTTTTGTTACACAATATCAAAAGCCGACATATACTATTAAAATTTCTTCAAGACAGAAATGTGTTTTAATTTTCATTTGCCATTTCAAATTGCTCACAATAAATCATATTTTAAAAATAGTGCAAAATCAAGATGTACCGCTGAACACTTTCATGTACTGAGCTCTGTCAGTGGATTTAAATAAAATTCCCCAAAGCCATCATTATTTTTCTGCAGTGGGAATACCACTGGATCAAGAAAGTGGTTTTAAGCCAGTAAGATAAAGTGAAAGTGGAAAATTCTAATCTTCATCTTGCACCTCAACATGAATTATTTAAAAAAGTGGGGGGGGGGGTTGATTTTCACCTTCACCCCTGAAGGAGGTAGTGTACACCATGACCTATGAGCATGAAGCTGTCACTTGGTTAATGGTAACAGAGTCTAGTCTTTCACTATGTGACAAAGTCCACCAAAGCTGCATGTGCTCACATGTCATGACGTCTGACTTGCTGACAGCTCACCTTCTTGCAGCTATGTCATTCAATCTGTCCAGATGTAACTCCAGTACCTTGTCATGTACTGCTAAACAAACATGACAACATTTCATCTCACTGCCACGGGAGCTGCAAGGATTAGGACAGGGGCTGAAGATAAGATAAAGCCCCCTTGTGAGACAACTTACAGATACTAACTGTGAGGAAAAGGAGACTTAAATACCTCAGAACCACATCTCTCTCTGGAAACTAGTGGACACATAAGGTCATGACATAAAAGGAGAATATATTTAATTTCTCTTTTAATCTTGCCCATCAGTGACAGAAAACATTTGTGTCTATAATTTAGAAAACTCCACTTTATAGTGGAAGCAGGTTTTAATTATAAAAGAAACAAAAAGGACGAGGGCATGTTGATGCTCTACAACAAAGACAAATTAAACTTAATTTTAGAAAACTTGAAACATATTGATTTACACTGAAAACAAGTAGTATACAAGATTACAAGTTGTAATCTTTTAGATTTTCATGAAATCAAATCAAGTTTCTGATACCATCTATTGTGAATATTTAAAAACAATAGCCGTTTATTGTGTTCACATTCTGTTATTACTCTCTATGGTGTTTTTTATTGCTAGTGGCGGAGTCCGCCATCCCCACCATGGATTCAAATATGCACAAGGAATTCACAGGAAACGATGAAGGTTATCCCACATTACTGTTCGTCATTTTATTTTGCTGATATCAGCCTCACTGTTTACTGTTCACTAACACCTTATCAGTGTTGTATTAAGTTACTGCTAATGCAAACTGAACAATTCCTCCAGCTACTACTTCACACCAAAAGTGTTGAACTGGCAAAACCACTTATCTTGGGGACCCCTTAATGGGTTCCGAACCCCAGTTTGGGAATAAATTTCAAATTCAAATTCAAATTAGCTTTATTGGCATGAATGTATAGCAACAATATTGCCAAAGCTATAAATAAAGTACATAAGGACAATTAATTTCATACATTTCATTAGATAAGAAAATAAAATAAAAAAGAATATAACTCTATGTCAGCGAAAGAGGTTTTTACAATGTAGTATTCCATTTTAATGGGGTAGTATTTTTGAATGGAGCTTGCTCCTCAGTCCCTCTTTTCACACTGTTTCATCCCCGGCCCTCTGCGCTGCCCTGTCCCTTCCTGTGGTTCCCCAGACCTAGCTCTCCACCAGATGCCCTCAAACTTTCCGTCCTTTTCCATCACCTGACTGCCACACCTGGGGCGAGTTCAATCTTAAAACGTTTTGCACCGGTTTGCAACATAGCACCTCGGTCTGCCTGTCTGCTGGCCTGTACCTGCCAGTAAGATAAGTTTATGCTTTAATAAATTAAATTGTTCCAGTCTGCCTATTCTGTCCACATTTGGGTACAATCCCAATTGCCTGAGCAGACCCACCCTGACAAGTATTGTAACAATTATCCCTAAATTATCCCTAAAATCTATGGATTATCCAACTAGATTTCATTAAGCCAAAATTGCCACTGTGACCGCAATATGTACTGTAAATCTCCACTAAATCTTTGATTAAGGGTATTAGATGCTATATGACATGTGACACAGACATTGCTACAAGTTAACTGACACCTGGAACAGGTGAGTAGTAACAGTAGTCATTTTCAGTCCAATTCTTACAGCTGTTTCTTCTGATCAAGCTAGCCCATCAGCACTGCACTATATTTACCTTCATCCTGGGTTATACAACAGGAGGAGGAGGACTTTAACAGCACAGGAAGATGGACAAGGGTTAGTAGCTCGGGGACACTTTGATTAAACACTAGCCTGGGTGGGCTCAATGGCTGAGTCATGTCCGTGTGATGACTCTCCCTCCCCTGGCTATTGTAAACACTCTCTCTACTGGACTCTAGCAGGGCTGTTAAGCTGGCAACTGGGTACCAAACAGCTCTGTGTCACATGAGAGGCCTGGCTTGAGTCACAGTGGCCCGGGATACTATTCTTAGCTGCAGGAATGTACACAGTGGCCTCATGGCGAGCTCCACAGTGCCTAACTGGAGAGCCTCGTCGTTTCTGTGTGTCATGCTCCTTTTTTCTCTCCCTGACCACGCTTCCCTCTTTCTCTCTGGAAAATGTTTTGGTTCTCTTTTCACTGGAAGTGATATTTGTTTCTGAACAGATCGACCAGATATTTTGGATATTATTGATTTTCTGAGGGCAGGAGGTAAGGTTTCACTCGGTCACAGATGTTGTTGATGAACTGGCAACAGGTTCATCAGTCAGACATTTCTCTCAAACTCATCAGTTTAATACACATTGGATGAATAATAATGCTTCAGTCCTACTACTTTTATTGTCTAACAGCAACATTGTTCAGTTTTCTCAGCAACGGCCTGCTTCTATATCATCTTCTAATTAATTTTGATCCAAAATGCTCTGTTTCAAGTTTAAGGAAATCAGACCCTACTAATACAATCCAGCTGTGCCACATTTACAATCTTGTGTAGATAAATATTTATAAATCAGCTTTGGCATTAGGTTACAGTATTACGAGTTAGAATGTATCTCTCTACATGTAATGTGGCGCAAATAAGCATGCAAAGCCACTTGCTGATGACTAACTAAAAAGTATCCCAAATGACTGAATATCGTTATACATGAGTGTGACTCCAGTTTTAATTACTGATGCAATTTATCATAAGGAGCTCCTGGTCTCCACCAGTAGGTCTTGTTTAAGACCTGAGGGAAAACCGTTAGTCATGAAATGTCACTCACAGGCATTTCATAGTATACAATAAGGATCAGAGGTCCAAATATATCAGACAGGCTGGGCCACGTAGGTGGGGAGTAAATCAGTAGCTGTTGCGGGGGTGATTAGAAGACTTAATGTTGCTGATAGTCCGATGAATTTCCCGCTCTTTAAACAGCAGGATCATCACAAACCCTACAGCCAGGAAGAGACAGACTGAGACTATCAGAGAGGAGGAATATAGTGAAGGAAAAACAGAACATATAGAAAATAGCAACAAAGATAATGAGGGAGAGAGAGGTCCAGAGAGAGAAATTCAGGGGGATGGAGAGACAAACACAGATGGTCTGTTCTGTTGACACAGTTCTGTTAATGTTAGCAGTGATTGGCAGCTTGATAAGTGAGATGAGGCCTAATGCTACATGGATGCATCAAGATAATTTAGAAGGGGGTAAAAATAGAAATCTGTGAGTCAGTAATGGTCAGAACAGCTGCTCCGCTGGAGTTTTAAGAGTTTGAGAGTGGGCTAATAAATGAAAGGGCTTGTTATCAGATGGATACACATGGTAAGTCTGAAGGCAAAGGTGAAATTTACATAAAATGTCAAATGAAAGAAAGACAAAGTGAAACTGTGGCAGCCTGTACTATCAAGAATTCCACAGTGCATGCTGTTGTAGAGATACATTTTTCTGAAAGCTTACAGATTAAATTAATCCATTTCTGTTATGCATGCAGTCAAGTTATACACAGTTTAAAATAGCTAATCATACCTGTATGGATGAAACGCCAGCTTTTGCCTTGAAAATGTGTGATGCAGCAGAAACTTAGGGTGTGTCACTCCAGTTTTATAAGCAAGGTAGCGTTTTGGTAGATTTGCCATTTGGTGGGTTATTGGTTGATTATTAGATTACTTTTGTAGAGGCATCAGTTTGATATGTTAGGAAATACACGGTGACCTCCTAGAGTCTCTGTTTGCCAGGCAAACTCATGGTGAGACTCCAGAAAGTCACTTTGCCCAACCAAGAGAAAGTCCAGCGCAGACCTTCCTGCAAAACCACAACCTGTTATTCTTAAACTTGTTTTTGTACTGATGAGATTGTGTGTCATTTAGTGAGCTTTACAAGTGCAGGTATGCTGCTTTATTAGCATTGGACAGAGCCAGGCTAGCGGTTTCCCCCCTGTTTTCACTCTATATGTTAAGCTAAGCTAACTCTCTCCTGGCTGTATCCTCATATTTAACATGCAGATGTGAGAGTGGTCTGGATCTTCCACTCTCTCTGCAAGAAAGTTAATAAACCATATTTCCAAAAATGTAAAACTATTCCTTTAACGGTAGATCTACGGTAGCTCAATTTCAACAATATGCCTCCACTTTAGGTGATCATGCACATCCAAGTCTAATTTCGCAACATGTGGTTATCACCATATTTTAATAGAGAGGGTTAATGTCAGTGTAATGTCATCAGTATCAATGTTTTTGTTAACCATGTCTTTCCAGTGGACAATAGAAATACAACACTATGATCATGGAGAATCTCTTTTCTCTTTCCAGAGAATGGCCTGCAGACCACGGGAAGTCTTCTCTTTGAAAGACTCAGAGCTTCCCACCCACCTACTTGCCCAGCTCAACATCCTCCGGCAGGAGCGCATCCTGACCGATGTCCTGCTCTGCACGGAGCACCAGGAGATTCCCTGTCACAGGAACGTCCTTGTGTCCAGCAGCCCATACTTCCGCGCCATGTTCTGCAGCAACTTTCTGGAGAGCAGTCAGGCCCGAGTGAATCTGAAGGGAATCTCTTCAAATGTCCTCAGTGGCATCGTGGAGTATGTCTACACAGGCTGCATCACAATCACCATGGAGATTGTGCTCCCCCTCATGCAGGCAGCGTCAATGCTTCACTATGGAGGTCTCTTTGAGGCATGTTCCATGTTCCTGCAGGAGCAGCTGAGTCCAGAAAACTGTCTGAGCATGATACGACTCTCTGAGATCCTTCACTGTGAGAGTTTGAGGGAGAGAGCAAAGGAGATGGCTGTGAGGTGTTTCTCTGATGTAGCTGCTACAGAGGACTTCTGTGAGTTGTCTCTCCCTGAGCTCATGTGTTACCTAGAAGACGACCGACTTTGTGCTGAGGAGGAGCAAGTCTTTGAGACCCTTCTGGCATGGATCCACCACGACCCGTTCTCACGACGCGGTGCAATCCATGATCTCTTCAAGAAAGTCCGTCTACGCTACATCCATCCAACTTACCTCTTCCAGTTTATTGCCAATGACCCACTGGTGCAGTCCTCCACCCTCTGTACTGAGATAATCGAGTCAGTCCGCCGCCTCATGCTTACAGTCAGCACCAAGTGTAGCCGAGAGCTCAAGCCGCTTTGGACCACACCACGGCGTTACACCTGCAGAGAAACACTGGTGGTGGTCGGAGGGCGCAAAAACAATGAACAGACCTCACGAGAGGCTCTACTCTATGATGAAAGGACTCATCGTTGGCAGTGGTTGGCCAAGCTCCCTCTGCGCCTCTATAAAGCAGCGTATGTGTGTATTCATAGCATCCTCTATGTGCTTGGCGGACTCAGCCTCTGCATGACATCAGGTGACAGCTCAGTTAGCGCCACAGTTTACACACTCTCCCTAAAGACCAACCAGTGGCGGACTGCTGAGCCCATGTTGGAGCCACGATATGCCCACCAAAGTGTGTCCTATCTGCACTTTATTTTCGTGTTAGGAGGTATTGGGGTAGACAAGAGAATTTCTCAGTCAGTAGAGAGATATAACAGTATGTTTAATCAATGGGAGGCCATGGCACCAATGCCCACAGCAGTGCTGCATCCAGCTGTCGCCGCCAGCGATCAGAGGATCTACGTTTTTGGAGGGGAGGATGCCATGCAGAATCCAGTCCGGCTGATTCAGGTAAAGAATAATTCTCATTTTAGCAGTATTGAATCAACACTGAAGTCCAATTCCAATATTGTTGCTTAAAGAGAATTCATTGTCAGTATCTGCAGATAGAAAATTAAAAGCAAAGGTCTTCAGACACACTAGGATGTCACACAAGCAGGCAGCCAACTACAGTCTTTGATGCTGCAGTAAACAGGTTGGCTGTCTGCTGATGTCTGTGGTGTTTCAACAGGTGTATCACATCTCTCGCAACTTGTGGACGAGGCTGGAGACAAGGACGGTGAAAAACGTTTGTGCTCCTGCTGCTGTCATTGAAGACAAGATCTACATTATAGGAGGTGAGCTCAAAACATGGTGGCCAAATAAGTAGTTTTCCCCAGCTGTTACATAATTGTACATTACATATGTAGTCGTTAACGTGTTTACTGCATTTTAACTGATTGTTAAATCATGTAGGACGTTATTAAGGATAAGGCTGGATAATACTTTCCACTTCTTCACTTTCAGCCCAAAGCCCATTGTTTCCTATTGAAGATGTAAATCTTTAAAAAAGAAACAACTCACAAATATATAGTTTATTTTTCTGAAAAGGCTAAGTAATTTCATAAAACAGCTGGGCACTGTAGTTTTAAGCAAATGTTACTCAAACAGGAGGAAACAGTGCGTTTGTTTGGGTCTATTTTCAGCTGCAGATTAATGCACGTTTGGTGCTGTACTGAGTATTTCTAGCAGCACAACATAGCAGCATGTGGGAGCAACTCAAAATAAACTACAGCGTTCATTGCAATGAATGTTTATGTCTCCCAGTGCAACAGTGAGGCTCAGTGATGTGTTTTAATAGTTTTCAGACAACAATGGAGCTCTGTGGCACAGAGGGAAAGCTAATTGGCTGGAGAAACAGATAATACTTGTCAATTCCTTCTTGGTTTTGGTGAGAATAAGAAAAATGTCAAATATCACCAGACTTATTCTTCAAATTTAGCTCAATCATAATCTAAATTTCCAGGATACACCAGGCGATTGATCGCCTATGACACCAAAGTCAACAAATTCGTCAAGTGTGAGAACCTAAAGGAGCGACGGATGCATCACAGCGCCACAGTGATCAACAATAAACTCTATGTCACCGGTGGACGCATCCTCAACGGCCACGATGTCATCGAGGACTCAGACTGCTTCGAGTGTTACGACCCGAAGACAGATGTTTGGACGTCGAAAGGTTCTTTGCCGTACAAATTATTTGACCACGGCTCCCTTCCTTTAGTGTGCGTTTCCAACAGACCCAACCCACCATGACCCACCAACCAACCAGCCACTTGGGTAAATGCTTTGCTATGTGCTCATCACCTTCCCTTCGCCATGATTTATATTAACTACAAAATTGGGAAACCATTTCAAAATGACTGCATTCCTTCACGTTGTTCAGTCTGTGCCACAACTTAACGGCATGTTAGGCCAGGCTGACTTTCATCTGAATCAAAGGAGGAGCTGACGTGCAGAGGTGTCATTTCTTAGGCACCTCGGGTGGAACTGAACTGAGAACCCAAGAGATGACGAGAGGCAGACACTTACACCACAAGAACAAGCAGGTGTTCAGACACATATGTAATCCAAAAAGCTCTTTCCACAGATGGCTGCACTCAGTTGATGGTAACTAAAAGTGTTAATGCTTTAATTTTCCAGCCATTTATACACAGCATATCACTGCCTGGCAGCTGCAGTTGACTTCCCTGTAACAATTAAATACATAAGGAATTACATGTCTGGCTGCTTGTTAACTCTATGAGGTCTGCTTGTCTTGAACAACTCAAAATGACTGATAAAGCTAAGCTACTAAAAGCTACTAAATTTGCACTTTATAGAAAATACATTCCTCATTGACCCATGTGCTTCTATCAGAGTGCAATTGCTGAACAATTGTGACAGAACATGGACAAGCTCCCCCCTGCAAAAATCAGTAGTCCATCACGTTTGCTGTTGATGAGAAGCACAATTTCACTTAAATGAAATTATCTGGGCCAACTTTATTCCAGTTTAGCTGGCTTGAGTCATGACCTTGACAATTCTATCTGTCACCCCAACAAAGCATGTTCTGTATTCTGTTTCATGAATGTTTTCGCTTGCAGTGTGTGTATGTAACATGAAGTAAAACAAAAAGACATGATGTTTTGGAGAGGCGAAGCACCGTAAACAGAAAAGATTTGAGTAGTTCAGTGGTGGTTTACTTTTAATTTCAACATGTACAATTGCTTGATAAAGAAACCGGCTTCGCAGGCAGCTATACTGATGTAAGGACCCTATTATCACCCCATTGGATCATCCATGTTATGTATCCCTGTAGTGACTCTACCTACGGTATTTAAGATCGCATCAGCTGTATGATGCATAATGTGTTGCTGCAGTTGCACAATTGACTTTCTCTAGCATTTTTTCCCCTAAAATGTTTTTATTTCCTTCTGTACAATATTTTGGATATTGATTTCCCTGTTTGTGACTTGGTTTATAAAGGAATACTGTTATTTATGTGTACATATGTGGTGACGCCCCATAGAAAATCCAATTTCTTATTTATTGCTTTGAATTTCTCCGCACACAAGAACAAATAATACCATCTGTTTTGGACTGCAGCACATGCATTGTCATTGTTATACTAGACTGCATTTTGTTGAACTTGATGCAGATTTAAATGGTTCTCCCTTTGTCTGCCAACTGGCTGAGTCATGTTCCCTTCATACACAAGGGAACATTGTTGACACAGACACAGATGCATGTTCGCTGGCTATCAGGTGACAGGTCATTAGGTACCATTGCAACGTCCATTCAAATACTGCATTATATTTCATGAAAGTTAAAACAATTTATCTGGCATGAAATTAATACATTACTTTATGTTACAGTATGACGACCTCTTATCATAAAGAGGCTCTCACTGTATGGTATGGCCTACTTGTATCCAGCTCTCCGCTGAAGTTGACCTTAGGGGAAGAGATGCAGGATCAGATTTCACTCTTACAATTTAATCCCTGCCCATTAGTGGGGAAACATTTAAACTTGCCCAGGAGCAGTGACCAAAGGGGAATTTCATCACACTCCACTTTAGCAACCCTAAACTCATTGAGTTGGATAGCTCCTTGTTAGTCTGGTCACTCGGAATGCCTCACAGTAACCCTGCGTGTGTGTGTGTGTGTGTGTGTGTGTATTCAGTACCTGATACCTAACCACAGTATTATAGACTCTTACTTACCCAGCAGATTGTCTAAGCTTAAACTTAAAAACCATACAGTTTTAACTTATCAACAAAGACTCTCATGAATCATGAATAATTTGCCATTAGCTGAGTCAGATGTCATATGCTTGACTCGTTTAGCCAGAGCAGCATTTCAGAACAACACCCTGTGAAACTTTTTTATTGAGCTGCTGCTAAATACATAGCCTATTCAGACTGTTTATTGACTGTGTTTACTTTGCTGTCTTTCCGTAGAAACCAGTGTGTGAGGGTCATCCTTGAGGGAGGCTGTGGCCTGGCAGGTTATTTTCAGTGTCTGTTACTAACCCATCAAGGGATAGCATTTCATTGCTAGCCCATTCTGTGTGAGTGTGTGTGTGTACATATAAACATACAGCAATTGTTGGAAGAAGAACCATTTGCATGTATTGGAGCCACCAGTATAAACCTTATTCTACATAAACCTTGAAAAGGAGGATTTATTTTCTTGTTTAAGAAGAAACTTCAACCTGCTACCAAGTAGTTTTAAATACCAAGGGGTTTCCCTGTTGTGTCACGGAAGATGGCCCATTGCCAGTCTGTAACTTTACCCCCGCTGTGTTAATGTGATGGATAGGGGGATTGAGAAGGCCTACACCTACACAGCCAGAGGTGGAGTAGAAACACAACAGTAGAAACACAAGAGATCAGCTTCCCCCCCCAGGTACTACTAAAAACAGGTACATCACCTTTTTCAAATGCAGCATATCTTTTATTTGAAAATGAAGCGCAAGTTACAACTGAAGGTACTCTTAAAATTCAAATTCTTTAAGCTACAAAGCTAGATGAAATATACATTAGCGTTTTAATGAAAATAAGCAACAATTTTTTTGAACATTGTGCATGGATTCTTTATATTAACTCAATTTTACATTTACAAAAATAAAAGGAACCATGAAATAACATTTTAATGATTTGATGAAGTTAGCAGGCTTACTTGCAAGTAAAGGTCTCCAGGGAGTACAAGTACAATTTGATGAATGAATTTCTAATATAACTATTGCAGCTGGTTCAATTGCAAAGACAGTGTTTGCAGTACAACACTGTTGTACTACTAAATCAGCTTAATGGGACGCATCAATTCTGAATATGAAAGTGACAGAACCCAAAATGCCTGCACCACACACCTTCCACCACCCGATGTCCTCAAGAACACAGGGTGATGTGAAGTGCAACAGAAAGATTTCCTACATTGTTCCGCTATCGCCCTCTGCTGTCTAATATCACCTTACACTTGTGTGTTCTGTATTACTGCACCTGTGAAACAAAATTTAACACCAGGCTCTTAAATTCTGTAAGAGATACTTGAGTCAAACGCAAGAATCATGATGATTTTATTATAATTTCTTTGATAAAAACAAACCAATCACTGTACAGCATGCATACATTCCTTACAGAAGTCTAAAATCAAACTGGTCAGGTGTACGGTTTCACTGGAACATGGCATCGTTTTTCCTCTTTTTTTTTTTTTTTTTTTTTAAACAGGCTGGTTAGGCTTTGTGTTCATTTGGTCACAACTGCCACAAAACACGCTACATGGATGTGTGTGGATGTGTGTGTGTGTGTGTGTGTGTGTGTGTGTGTGTGTGTGTGTGTGTGTGTGTGTGTGTGTGTGTGTAGGAGTGTTTTGAAAGGGAATACAAGTTCATAAAGCATATTAAATGACAGTTTAAAATTGCCTACATTCAACTCATTGGAGTGTTTAGTTTTTGCCATTATTCCATTCTTACAAACAACCTGCTGACATTCACACAAATTCATTCATGAGGAACCTTGGACCCCAAGAGGTGAAAAACAAAGACTTAAATTATTATTAATTAAGACAAAAACCCAACATAAACAATAAGTTGGTCCAATAAAAGTGTGATTTAGAAGAGAGTCTTAACATTGAGGAATTTATAAACTACACAATAGAAATAAAATCTTATTACATTGACACAAACATAATAACAGTAATAAAAGGTTTCAAAGAATAATTTCAAATAAAGAAACTCCAGAGGCAGAAATCTTGGTAAAATTATACTCCTACTTAGTTGAGTTTTTTTATATTAAATTTGGAACAATTAAAATATACAGCATTTACACATTCAAAACCCAACGTTTCTTTGCTTCTAAAGGCCCAGCTTGGAACAGGAAGGGCGAGGAAACCAAACCTTGGATCACCCTAAAATGTCCATTGAGTTTAATCACACATATGTACAATAGGTCCATAACTACAAAAGGCATTCAAAGAAAGAAAGTTACATTTTGGCACCAGGCACAGAATTGAATATACATTAAAACTAATAGCAAAAACCCACCCAGAAAAATAATTGACTATTCTCACCCCTCAACGTGTCGTCCCTACAGCATGAGAGAATAGTAAATATGCATTTTATCTGGCTAAAAAAAATGAATGATGTAACATTTGGCATAATTGTTGCTGGAAGAATAAGAGAGGGGGGTGGGGAGTGGCAAAGATCTACTCCAACAGACCTGACAGCAAGATCTAGAGTGCATTTCTGTCAAAAGACAATCTGTTGTTCTTCCTGAGTGCTAGAAGTAAACAGGAACTGGAAAACGTATTCATAGCTAAGATTAGGGATGGGCCTTTATACTATTTACACGTGCAATGTTTGGCTTTCGGTATCATCTAATCTCTTACCTGGTTCACAATAGCAACATCAGCAGTTTAATTTATCCACCCACCGTGTCCTGAATTATCACTGACTTACAGAAACATGGCTCTCCTTTGTTATCTGGCAGCTACTGTCGAGTCCTGACCTGTCATGACGAATAATAGCATGCCAACTTTTCCTGAGACAGGGTAAAGTATAATAACCTTTACTAACTTTGGGATGGGATAGACTGGCTTCATCATCACAGTAAACCAGTCCGTGTGAAAATTAGAATAAGAGGGGCTTTTGTCTTTGTTTTTTATAAATTGAACGCAGACGCTCTGGGAGAGGTGTGAACAGAAGTGCATAAGGCAATCCTCCTTTCACACCTCATTGATGGTGCGCTCAGAGGGCCTGAAGTTGACCGAGTTAGACGATGACATGTAGAAAGACTGGGTTTTGCGATTGAGTCGGGCACGCTTGGTGGCCACGCATAAGCTGCGCTTGCTGGAGGAGATGATCTCTGTGATGAACTTTTTGCAGTCTACGCAGATCTCCATGGTAACCCAGTCCTCAGTAAGCTCCTTGGGCAGCTCTGGCTCATCCTGTGACCGCCCATCTTTGCTGCCACTACTGCTGTGCTTTGAGAACCTGTTGACAGGAGGAAATAATGAACTACTAACCTGATAATGCATGACATGGGTACCATATTTTCTCAGTTTATAAAAAGAAATTAGTTCTACAGTAACGTACTTGTAAACACTTCTGCGTAGGCTGTGCCGGTTATGTCCAGACCCAAATGGGTGCTTTTCTGGTTCAGCAGGGGCAGATGTTCCACTTGCCTCTTCTTTAGCAACAGCACTGGGGCCCAAAGAATAGATGGGCATGGTGGAGTAGGGCTTCGATGGCAACCGCATCTGAGGTTAAATAGATGTAAAAATTGGTATCAACTTAAAAATTTTTTAAAACTGCTCATACAGTGCAGTTTATGGAGCACCTGTTGGTGTTCATGGAGAAGCAAACAGGTGTCAAGAGTGTCAACAGATTCTAAAGTGAGTGTTCAAAACTGTTAAATGTAAGTCAACAGCTTCCTACCTTTTTAGAGCACTGGGAACATACAGGCCTGGAGAACATAAAAATGAACTGTTAAAGAAGCAGTTGGTAACAATTAAACAATGCAAAACCTTCCATGTCTCGCTCTACTGCTCTTACCCCTCCCACCAAACCCATAACTAGGAACCTGTTGCCCTGCGAAACTTCATTCCACGTTGGGCTCACTCTCCATGGCGAGAGTCTCGCCAAGACCCTGGTCCCTTGCTTTGACTCGTCTTCTCAAAAGACACCCCAGGCTTCAGAGGTAGCTGTGACAAAGTCTGACAGTGGGATGAGAGGCTACATCACTGACACCCCCCCCCCAAAAAAAATTATTCCTCACTGTTTGTCATCCTGCCTCTTTGCCACTCGAAGATACGAGCACCGTGGGACCGAACAAAATGAGCCAGAAGCTCATTGTGGAGCCGGGATTAATAAAAGGCATCTCTTATCTTATTATCTTTCGCATGTACTACTGTCAGGATACAGTGACAGTTTCAGCAAATATGCCAAAAGGTTATTTTTAAAAAATAATGCTCCTGCCGCAGCCAAAAAAGGCTTTAGACAACTTCATTTACCCCCACATATGCAGCAGTCCTCCCCAATAATTGTAAACCATTTGATGTGTAAAGCTATGGAGTTTACCTTTAAAGTCAGTTCTAGTAATAGTGGTTTACCTTTTGCAGAACTGGCAGGTGTAGGACCAGGTAAAGAGAGAGAACCTCTTGGTTCGACATGCAAAGCAAAGCTGGAGAGGAAAGGTAAGGTGAGGAAGGTATAATCTGTTGCATTTAAATGATTGAGGAAAACGATTACTGGGGTGACAAAAACTCTACACATGGAGTCTACCTTTCCTTTCTTTAGGGCGGTGTAGATGTCTTTGTACTGCTGAAACTTCTCCAGCTCAGCCTTGACCAGAACCTGTCTGATGTGCATCACCTCCTCCACTGTCAGAGCAAGACACTCTGCTGGGTAACAGAACTCCTCCTGAAAGGGGAAAAACAAAACAAAACACATAAGGTCAACAGACTACCCTCACATACATAGATTAGGAAATGGATAACCCAAAAAAAGTGCAACAGCAACAAGTTATGGCTTCTGATGCCATTGAGACAAACACCATGTCACTAAATGTGGCTAAATGCACAATTTAAGCAATACAGTGACACCCACTGCACACCACAGAACAAGCACGCGATGAGGTGGTGAAGGCGAAAACACCAGTCTTTGCTCTGTGAACAACAAATAATGATTCCACTGACATGAACAATGAGCAGAAATACAGAGCATGCTGGTGATGTGACATATCAGTCATGTTGGTGGGTCCACAGCGTTATCGGTTAACCTTATTCTACGTTATTCTATTTACTTAAGTCAGCCATCTCAACATTTAATTGTTTTTTTGCATGTTATGTGTTCGCTTATTTTAACATTACTCAATTGTAACTACGCTGTGACTGTTTTCCATATAAATGGATATTCCACACAACCAATTTGCAAGTGGACCCCCATCATGGTGCAAGCTGTGTTCACAAGGAGATGTGTGACATAGCTGGCAGACTGTTAAAACACTTTAACCTCCACAAAAGTGAAAATGCCTCAAGGAACGTCTCCACCAATCATTTACTCTCAGCGTCCTTCAGTTGGCCTTTATTAGAAAATTTGAGTTTTATCCTTCCGAGTTATTTTCAACATGCCTCAGATCTCCCATTCACACAAATGGTCATGACGCGAGG